GATCCTCTGGAACAGCAGTATTGAGTCAGCTCTCCAGCCTAGAAGCCAGTAAGACACAGCAGTGGACCCCATTCACTGTCCCATAGATCCTGAGGGAAAAATTGGGAGCTAGTGCAGAGTTCAAGGAATCCCTAAGGCAGGACCCCAGGAGGGCTGGGCTAACAGAATGGTGCTTTGGGTATGCTGGCAACAGGGTGGAGGGGAGTGTGTGCTGCTGCCTGTCTTTTCATTCAGCTCTGCTATGCAGAGCTTACAAAGGGGGTGATGTAAGGCCCAGAACCTGAGGGGCCCTCCTGGAGTCTAGCATCTCCCCATGTGTGCCTGGCCACCCTCAAACATTCAAGCCTCAGCTTCAGCATCAGTCCCCAATCTTCCTATGTTATTAATGCTCCTCCTTTGTGCCTTCTGCACTGTTTTCCCTGAATTCAAAACAAACTTTTTTCATTTTTATCTATTTATTCTTTGAATTTCTTTTTTTTTTTAACTTTTAAAAAAATTTATTGGGGGGTGGGCATAGTGGCGCACACCTTTAATCCCAGCACTTGGGAGGCAGAGGCAGGTGGATCTTTGTGAGCTCAAGGCCAGCCTGGTCTACACAGTGAGTTCCAGGACAGCTGGGGCTACAAGGAGACCCTGTTTCAAAAAAAGACAAAAAAAAGAATTTACTGGGGGCTGGAGAGATGGCTCAGCAGTTAAGAACACTGGCTGTTCTTGCAAAAGACCCAGGTTCGAATCCCAGCACCCACATGGCAGCTAACAACTGTCTATAACTCCAGTTCCAGGGGATCTGACAGCCTCTTCTGTCCTCTCTGGGCAGTGCATGACTCAGGTGCACTTACCTACATGCAGGCAATACATGCATACACATAAAATAAAAATAATAAATAAATTTAAAAAATAAACCATTTTAAAAAATAATAAAATTTAAAAAAAACTTACTGAGAATTTCATACATGCATATAAGGTGTTTTGATCAAATCCACACCCAGTCAGTCACTCCCCACCAACTCCTCCTGTATCTTCCCATCACTTTTTCCTGACAACTTTGTGTACTCTTTTTTTTTTTCTTAAATGGGGCTTTTTCTTCTCTAACACTCCCCCTCTGAAGAGGTAACCCTAAAATCTTTTAGGGATTAGACAAGAGCCTTTGGAACAGAGTATGATGCTAAGAGGCCCAAGGACATTTTGACTTTTAACCAAGAAACTGGCTACTTTTCTTTGGGTTTCTTTCTTAGAGCTACGTACTGTATATTGAACATACACTCTCGGCCTTAGTACCACCCCAGCTTCCCTTGGCTCGACTCTCCCTTTCCAAGCTAATCTTTCTCCCTCTAGACAATGTCACTTCCACTTTCATTTAATACAAACATGCATGATTTTGTGTGACTATACAACATAGGATCCACAAATGACAGGAAACATGTTTGTCTTTCTGAGACTGGCTTTGATTGTTTCCAGTTGCATCCACTGTCCCACAAATGACTCCTTCATAGTTGAAAACTTTTCATTGTGTGTATATACCTCATTTTCCTTATCCATCTTAGCTATTGTGAACAGTCAATAAACATTAATGTGTAGCTATCTCTAAAGACTTGTAATCTTTAGGTTAATATCTAAGAGTGGTATAGTTGGGTCATAGAGTAGATTTACTTCTAGTGTTTGTGAGGAACCTCCATACTGATTTTCTTAGAGGCTGAACTAGTTTACATTCCCACTGCAGCACTGGACGAACCCCTTTTGTCTACATTCTTGCCATCGTTTGCTACTGTCTTCTTAGTGACTGACATTCTGACTGGAGTAAGATGGAAGGAATCTCAATGTGGTTTTGATGTGCATTTCTCTGCTGGCTGGTGAGGATGAACATTTTTCAATCGTTTATTGGACCTTTGTATTTCTTCTTTTGTTTGTTTTGAGACAGGGTCTCCCTATAACCCCAGCTGGCCTGGAATTCTGTATTAGATCACCTGTCTCTGCCTTCTAAATGCTGGGATTAAAGGTGTGTGCCACCACTCTGACTCTGTTTGCTTCCTTAGCCCATTTATTGAGTTGTTTGTGAGGCTGCAAACTGCTGTTAGTCATCATAATTGACTAACCATTGCTTCTCAGTTCATTACAGGTCAATTTAATTTTTAAAAAGAGTTAAAAAAAAGTTACAAAACAAACCAACAACGAAAACAAACCCCCCCAAAAGCTGGCTGATTACGGTTTATTCTAAGAAAAAAAAAGAAGTACACGGTATATAAGCAGAGTAAGAGTTAAGAGTCTGGCCAAAGGTATTATACTGCCTCTGTTAAAAACTGAGCCTTTTGTTGGACCTCAAGTAGTCAGTCACACAGTCACAGGTTGCTGTGTGAATTAATACATGAGATAAAGTATTTGGTTCCTTGCAAGCAGTGGTCTTATTAGATATTTTCTGTTAGTTATTGTGAACATTCAATAGCACTATCTAAAGATATGGTAGATGGCTTTGCACAGCAGTGAGACCCCTTTCACTGAATGTATTCAAGCAACAGTAAATCTAAGAATGATGTCATAGGAGCGATTTCTGAATTGACAAGCCTAGATGACTTCCAAGGATGTTTCTAATCACAGAAGAGAGAAAGTCTTTCTTATTCAAAGAAAGTGTGATCATTTGTGTCACCTCTAGCAAAGGAGAAGTGTCTTAGAAGGGAGGAGCCTTGTAGTTTGATATATGAATTCATCTCAAATGGAACAAAATATGTTATTCCTGTGAGCAGTTAATTACAAAAGCCTTTTTTATTTGGTGTAACCCATATGGCAAATCAGGGCCTTACATGAAAATCTGTCTCTTTGCAAAAAGGAGTTTAGTTCTGCCAAAATGGAACAAATAAAACTTCAAAAACTGTTCCCAACCTACTGAAATGTTTCCCTTTGAAAGAAGTCTATTAGTGATGCAAATGCTAAATTATCTGTGCAGATGATAATCCCACAAACAAAACAGTGAAACCATTAGAACTCTGGTGCAAGGCCTTCAGTCCTGGGAACTTGGCTTTTTAAGCCGGAAAAAAAGACAAGAGAAAGCCATCAGAACTGGTTCCTGTTTGGGATAGTTAGATCTGCTTATCTGAATCCTGGGCTAATTATCTGTATGTTTGGCCTAAAGACAGAGTTCTCCAACAGTGGACAAGGCCTGTTCCCTTCTCCTGCTAGTGCCTTCAGTGGAGGGTAGCCTTGGAAAAAACATTCACAGTCCTCAAGTAGCTCAAGATGGAACAGCCTTTAGGTTTATTCAGAAGAAATCCAATGATATGCAGTCTTTGGTCAGTAATGTAAACAATACCCTCATGCTCCTGATGCTTAAGATAACTAAACATTAGACTGCTGGAAGCCTGTTTGTGTGGGTATTGAGATGAGTGTTTCCCAGCATCTTTTAGTCAATAGACATTCAAGTAAACAATTTCCTTTTTCTCTTTACTGTGTAGTCTAGGCTGGTGTTTCTCTTGCAGTGATCCTCCTGCCTCAACCTCCCAAGTGCTGGGTTTGCAGGCATGTACCATCACACCTGGTTTAGACAATTTGAGAACTTAGTAAATATGCAATTTTACTCTAAAGCAAAATGATTGGAAAGATTTAAAAAAATACATATAAGGCCAGGGCTGGGGAGATGGCTCAGTGATTAAAAGCACTGGGTTGTACTTACAGAGGACTGGAGTTTGGTTCCCAGCATCCACATGATGACTAACAACAGTCTGTAACTCCAATTCCAAAGGATCCCACGCCCTCTTCTGGCCTTTGCTGGACACTGCACAAATGTGGTGCACTTATATACAGTCAAAAACACTCATAGAATAAAAATAGAAAATATTTTTAAAAACAAAGCCATTAACTGTAAGTAGTCTGCTTGACTATTCCTTAGCTTCTCAGAAGTCACCAGGGATTAGAGAATACTAGCTCTTAGGAAGTGTGGTACTTAAAGGGATTAGGAAAGCATTTTTGAAGCAAAACTTCAATGTCGTGGTCGTGGCCACCAGCAAATTGATTAAAGCTCTTGGAAATGTGTAGTTTGTTAGTTAACCGGGAACCGAAAAAAAATGACTCCTCCATTAACCACATACTTTCTTGGCTAAGCATTATAGCAGTCGCAGACAGTGCCCACAAAGTCTGGGTGTAAGCTGGCAAACTACATTAAAGTAGGGTGGAGCTCTTGGGTAGTAAGGTCAGGGTTACCGAGCTTCGGCATGGTCACGTGCTTACATTTCAGGTGTGGGAATGGATCTGGTCCAGGCCCAACCACTCACAACCTCTCCCTGGCCCAGTGGCCTGACAGTTCACACAATCCCCGCCCCAGGCCTGGATAATCCAACCCTGTCCACCGAGAAAGAACACTCACAGCTTTGACCCTGCACTGCCTCCCTCTCGGGCCCTCCACGAGGGACTGTGGGAGGCTGTCAGCGAGTTTCCCCTTCTTCCAGCTTCCCACACCCTGACCACTCCACGCACCTCCTTGGCTCTGCCCTCCCTGGTCCTCTGGTAGGCCAACCCGAAGAGCTCAAGGGTCCATGTGAAGGCAAACCTAGCTCACTTCCCTCCTTCGGGTGGCTTTCCTCACCTTTGTGTCGGGAACCGCTTTCCCCCAAGCCTGGAAAGAAAAGCACTTCTTCGTAGCCTATGCGTACCTGCTCCTAAAAAGTTTGGGATTCCGTCTTACACGTACAAACTTTACTACCTGCTTAGGGGTGGGAAGTAGATGCAGCGCGTCCAACTTTGCATTAGGGGACCAAAGAGCGCTCAGGAGCCACGTCGCGCCTGTCCCTCCCGAGACCCCTGGAGGCAGGTAGACTGCGGCAGCATCTGGGGCTGGGAGTCCGGTTGGCTCCGCACGGGCCCCGAGGCGCCGAGTCCGCTGGGAGCGCGCGGAGCCGGGGATGCTCGGAGCCAGGAACGCGGGGAGCCAGGGAGTGCGGCGGCCGGGAGCGCGGCGGCCGGAATCGCGGCTGCGCAGTGGCGCGCCAGCGGGGACCGGGAAGGCAGGCGGAGGAGTCGAGCGAGGGGCGGGGGAGGAGCGGCCGGGCGGAAGCCATGTTGGAGACTCACCGCGAGCGAGGGGCTGCGGGCGCGCTCCTCTCCTTGTGGGTGTGACCCGGGCTCCGCACGGCGGCGGGGGGCGGGGACGTTGGGTCGCTTGTCGTGGTCTGCGTCGGCCGCAGCGCGGAGCCGGGCGATTGTGACCTGCGGCGCCGGCGGGCCGCGGACGCTCCTCCGTGCGGCCCTGAGCGCCCCCCCTCCCCGGGCCGGGAGGGAGGCGGGGGGCACCCGGGGCCCGCCATGAACCCGGGCTTCGACCTGTCCCGCCGGAACCCGCAGGAGGACTTCGAGCTGATCCAGCGCATCGGCAGCGGCACCTACGGCGACGTCTACAAGGTAAAGGCGGGGGCCGCGGTCGCCGCTCCGCATCCCGGAGCCTGGGCCGGCCCGGCGGGGTAGGAGGAGCCGCAGCGGGCCCGCGCCGCCGGGGACTGAACAAAGGGCCAGTGCTAGACCCCGGACCTCCGAGTCCCCACCGGAGCCCTGCCCTGGCAGCGATCTCTGACAGCAGCCTGTCCTGTGCGCTGTCCCGGGGAAGGGCTGCACCGGGCGGGCCACCGCTGCAGCTCGGAGTGCAGAGAGGGGCTGGGCGCTTGTTGCCTGGGTAGGATCTGTGTGAAGAACCGGACTGCAGGGGCTTGGCGTTCTTCAAACTGCGTGCCTCTCCGCGGTGGTCGGCTGGTGGCTGGGGACTGCTGTGCACCAGGCCTGCTGGTGCTGGTCTAACGCAGTTACACTGCACAACCTCCTTCGACAGCACTTAGCCTTTACCCTCTTAGCCCCTGCCTATCAGTTCCTTTTAATTTTGCAAGTAATGACTTTATTTGAGAAAAGAGATCCTTTTTTTTTTGGAGGCAGGGAAGAGCAACTTCGTTTTCTTCAAGTAGAATTTGGACAGTGATACTTGTTATTGTCAGTGAGACACAGGAATCAGATTTTCCTTTTTATGTGAATGGAAGGGGGCTGATTTGACAAGGTTAGAATTCAAAGCCTATTAGCAATGCAGCGTTCCTGTTGCAGAGGGATCACTTCTAAATGTGGGAGGATAAATCACTCTTCCCTGGCCAGCTCAACTCTTGGCCTTGTGGAGTCTGCCAAGAAGAGAAGTGGATGTGCCAAATGTGGCAGCAGTCTTGATTTAGTTGAGGATCTTCTTACTGGTAACTGAAGTTGAATTCCTTTTTCACGTGACACCTGAGGATGCACAAAGAAACTTAGTTTCACATTGGAAAGTTTAGTTTCTACTTTTTTTTTAAAATCACATTAATGAAACTTGTTGAAAGAGTAGGTTTTATACTCTTGCTTCAGTGAAATTCATAAGGTAAGTTAGAAATTACTTAATACAGTGTAGCTGGTATGCATGCCTTGTTTTGTGAATGATATCTTTTCCCCACAGTCAATACATGTGTACTGAGCATTACTACAATGTATAAGATATCAGGTACTCCAGGCACTTGGGTTATAGCAGCAAAAGATAGGTATGGTCCCACATTTATTTAGAGTCTATTTTTTTGGACAAGGACAAAGTTAAACACTTTGGATCACTTTATTGCAGTTGCATTTTGTGTTGCCAAGACAGCTAGGGTTGCCAGCCTGGAACAGGAAGACCTGATTTTGTCATATAGGCTCCATGCTCTGGAAGATCACAAGGCATCATAGATCAGGACAGGGGAGAGAGAAGATGATGCCACAAAGAGGGAGCAGGAATCAGAGGCTCAAGAAACTCATATGGATTTGAAGGAAGGTCTGTGTATGTAGCCTGAGCAGAGGATGGTGGAGGATCTTGTGGGTCTCTTAACTCTTGGACACAGAGGAGCCCTTGCCGGGATGGTGAAATTAGGTTTGGAGTGTTCCTTTCTTTTTAAAATTGGCATCACCAGGTGGCTCTGTTGAGCAATGGATAGTGCATTAGACTTCTAAAATTGGCATTATTATTATTATTATTATTATTGTTTTGATATAGGGCCTTGCAGTGTATTCCAGGCTGGCCTGGGACTCACTATCCTCCAGCCTTTGTCCCCTGAATAGTAGAAATATAGGCATTCATGACTGTGCCCCATTTAGATTGGATTTTTAGGGTGAGGTAAGCCTGGCAACTGAGTTTAATCCCTGGAACCCACATAAAGGTGGAAGAAGAGAACTGACTCCAGAGTGCTATCCTCTGACCTCCACATATGTGCCATAGCACACTCTCCTTTCCCCCATCATGCTCACACATGTATGAGTATACACCAATCATAAGATAAATACTTGAACTTTTAAAAGTTCTTACTGCAGTGTGCAGGGTGGACTGGAGGGAAAGAATAATTAGGAGGTCATTAGTATGATCCTGGTAAGAATAATGGTGTTTGGGAATTTGGTCATGACTGTGAAAGCAGAAGTGGATATATCCAAGGAGCTGATGACTGGCTGGGGGAGTCCAGTTACAGAGATGAAAAGTTGGTTTTATGAGTCTGTTCTTCAGTGGCAGTATGTACAGTAGGTTTCTTGTCTTTTGTTTTTGAGATGGACTTTCATGTAGCCTAGGCTTACATTTGAATTACTGTGTAATCAAGGATGGCCTTGAACTTCTGATCCTCCTGTCTCTACCTCCGAAATGCTGAGCTTACAGGCAAGTATCACCACCAGTAATAGGTTCTTTATAGGAATGGTTAGGTTTGTGTTTACTGTATTTAAAAGAACAGTAAGCTGGGTATGGCAGCACATACCTGTGGTTCCAGCACTTGAGAAGAGGCTAAGGCAGAATTGCCACAAGTTGAAGACCACCCTGGGTTATGTAGTGAGTTCTAAACCAGCCTGGGTTTCAGAATGAGACCATCCCAAAATAAACAAAACAAAACAAAAAACCCAAAATATAGTTTCTAGCAAAGCCACCTGATTAAAAACATAAAAAATATAAGTTAAAAAAGAAGAGTCTAATTTTCTAAGGACATCTAAGGGCATTAGAAATATAATAAATTGATTAATCTGGTCAACCATTAAAATAATGATAACATATTTATGGCATGTTTATTATCTGGCAGCCAAGTTTTCTTAAAAAAAAAAAAGTTCTCCTTAATCCTAGCAACTGTCCCTTGAGGTAGATGGTGTTGTTAACTCTATTTTGCAATTGAAGAAGCAGGCACAGAAGTTTAAGTAAATTGCCAAAGTTGGTAAGTGTCATGGGCAAAAATTGAGCTAGTTAGAAACTGTATTCTTAACCCTTGGGAGGCACTGTCTCTGTTAATATCTGATATAGGCAGATAATGTCATACTGAATTTCCAATGGAAAAACTGAGGTGCACAGTCGCCCCCTGAATAATTCAGCATGTGAGTCGTAGCCATACTCCGAGTTACAGTGCATCTTTTAGTAGTTAGAATTCCCAACTCCTGTTGTATAGCCAGGCCTCATGTGTTTTTGAAGTCTGCCAAGTGGACTTGGGATCACAGATGCTTGAGTCCTGTCTGCCAGGCACTTCCAACATCAGGAACCCAAAGCAGAGAAACTCCATGTGGTGTTTGGTACCATAGCCTCTGCCTGCTAAATAGCCTAAAGCTTAAACTTGTTTTCTGCAACCAAGTTCATGCTATGAAGATACATATTTTTCATGTTCATTTTGCTGTTTTTGATGTGTTGATATGTTGAAGAGGAGTGCATTTTGTTTCTAGAAGCCAGTGTGTGTGATTTGCTCCTTAATTTGTCAGTGCTAAGTATGTAGTGATCGTATTAAGTAAATAAGCACAATTATAGTAATTCCTGGAAGTTGGTGTTTTAAGGGATTTTTATTTTGAATGCTCTTCCACCCACTGTAGTAACACATTTACTGTATTTATAGCTTAATTACAGAGTGTTGGGCCAGGATGTGGATGATCTGGGATCTATTAGCTGTGCAGAAATCACCTAGCATCTCAGAACTGTTTTTGCGGCAGTTATTACCACCATATGCCCTTTTGCTTTTGGTGCTAACTAAACATCTTGAGTTTTACCCAACAAGTAAGTTATTTTATTTTTTTCCAGGCAGCATAAATGTACATTTCATTTGCATTGTCTGAAAGTACTTGAAGATGCAGTAAAAGGAAAAAGAAAACGGGGCTCATGTGACTGCAGATATTGGCCATGAAGTAACTGTACCAGGGTTGTCTCTAGGTACAGAGTTACCTAGAGACTGAGAAGTTGACAACTAGAGCTCCATTTGGGCCCCAAGAGACTTCATGAAGCACTCTGAAATTATGTGACATTGTTACATGTATTTGTGGGGGTGTTTTTTGTTTTTGTTTGTGTGTGTGTGTGTGTTTTGTTTTGGGACAGGGTCTCACTGTATATCCCTGGCTCACTTGAAACTCACTGTGTAGACCAGGCTGGCCTGGCACTTGCAGAGATTTGCCTGCCTCTGCCCTCTGAGTGCTGTTGTTAGAGGCATGTGCCACTGTGTCCAGTTTGATCCTTGTGTGTGTGTCTGTGTGTCTGTGTGTCTGTGTGTGTGTGTGTCTGTGTGTGTGTGTGTTTTAATGAAATGGGCCACGTGTGATACAGGATAGCTGTAAGTGCTTTTACTAGCTCTGTGATGTCCTTACTTCCTACCTTTTTCTATGCCTTTAGGCCCTTCAGTTGTGATTGGGAAAGTGTTTAGTTCTGTGACTACGTGACATACTCAGTTGTAGAGAATTGCTATTGATATTACTTACGTTATGTGGGTTTCCTACTACAGCCTTGCTACCTTTCTTTGTGTTTGCACTTCCTGCCTCTGCTTCACATTCCTTTGTCTTTCTTCCTGAGACTTCTGAATGGTTTGCCTTTGCATTTCCCCCACGTCTTAGCCCATGTCTCAGAGTACTCTGATTAACAGCATCAAAGACTAATTCTTCTATTATAGTTAGCATTTGGGAACTCATATGTCACTTAAGATATTTATTTATTTTTATGTGTATGAGTGTTTTTCTGGCATGTATGTGTCATGCAATGCCTGCAGAGACCAGATGAGGGCATTGGATTCCCTGGAAGTGGAGTTGCAGACAGTTGTTAGCTGCCATGTGGGTGCTGGGAACCAAACTCTGATTCTCTGCAAGAACAGCCAGTGCTCTTAGCTGCTGAACCATCTCTCTAGCCTAGATGTCACTTTTTAAAAATTTTTATGTATGGGCCGGAAGTAGTGGTGCATACCTTTAATACTAGCACTCTGGAGGCAGAGGTAGGCCAATTTCTCTGAGTTCGAGGCTAGCCTGGTCTATCTACATAGCAAGTTCCAGGCCAGCTGGGGCTACAGGGAGACTCTGTCTCAAAAATAACAAAAACAACAAGACAAAAATTATGTGTATGTGTGTATTGCCTGCATGTATGTAAGTGCACCTGTATCATG